TGCTCGGGAAAACCTGCTGAAACCTGCTCCTTCCTTCGGCACGGGCGTGCAGCTGGGGAACCCGGGAATGTCCATCCTCCGGTCCTGCAGCCGCGGGATGCTGCGTGGGGCAGGCTGCTGGCAGCTCTCATCTATCTCCTACTACTGCTTGTACCTCTCATTTCCTACTACTGCTTGCAGCCCTCATCTATCTCCCACTACTGCCTGCCTTTTTTTGTTTATAAGGAACCTCTTGGATCATAACTTTAATCAAATCTTTAGAAAACAAGGCATCTAGAAAATTTGGTCAAATGCATTCCAGCTTCATTAAAGAAGTTAAAAGCTTCCCTCCCCTCCCCCCAGATTATAATATTTTTTAACTTTAAAAACAAATGTTCTTTTGAAAATACTGCCATAAAATAATATCTCAGGCCGGAGATAGACTAAGGTTGAAACATAGTTCAGCCCCTGAAATTACTCGCTTTAAATTGTGTATTTTCATTTTCCATCTCAGATAACTGTGTGGCAAGGCTGTGCATTTGCTACATGACAGCTCGTTCTGCTTTTAAAACAGCAGCCCTTCAGTAGTAGCTAAATTGATGCCTTTTATGGGTCCATCACTTCCCGAGGGTAATTGATTAGCGGCTGTGAGGGGCTCTGAGATCTAACAGATTACGTGTTCTGAGCCTGCTAAATTATTTGAATAGATTTAGGAAGAAAAAGATTCAGAATTTTGTGTGATCCAGTATTACCTTTCCCAATCAGCATTTCCCCTTCCCATATTTTGGCTCAGTTACAAAACAAGTGTGCTAAGCCCAGGGAGCAAGAAGAGTTGAACATGACACCTGTTAATATATAATAGAAAGCGAGTATATTTTTCCACCGAGAGTTTCTCTGATGACTGTTTATTCCGCTGTTTAAAGATTACAGCTTTAATCTCGCTCAGGAGCAGAAAACGGAAAGGTCACAGCTCCGTGGAGCTCGGAGCGATCCGCGGGCAGACGGCAGCCGTACAACACGCTGTGCTCCAGGCTCCAGCCTCACAACACATCCTCTGTGCTGCAATTTGGAACCATTTAAACTCAGCTGCCTCAAACACAGCCCGAACCAAGAATAGCCTCGGCTCCCGGGCACAGGTCAGGCGATGCTGAGTCACTTGCTGGCCGGGGCCCAGGCTTTCCAGCTGCCTTGGGCTCGGCCTCCTTAAAGACACAACTTGTGCCTGCCGCACGCAGCCCAGCTCCAGCTGGGAACGGCCAGCCAGGGCTGGCACCCCTGGATGCCGGGGTTTAGCCAGATGCTTCATTCCAGTACGAAATCCTGGTTCGTGCCTCCCTGTTTCCCTCCAGCTCCGGAGCGCAGCGCTGCTGCTGCCTTCCTGCCCATTCAAAGCTACATTCATACATCTCTTTGTAATTATGAATCAACTCGCAGGCATCGGTGCACACCCCAGGCTCACACAGAACGGCAAACAATGTACTGTCACGGGTTGCATCAGCTGCACGATGCTCTCTCATGCCTTCAGGCTTGCTAAAGCTGATCCAACGCTAATATAATAATAGCCTTTTTACCCGCCTCCTCCCCCAACAATTACCGGAGGCTTGGAAAGCCATTGAAATGCAAATAGCACATGGAGAGGTTATTGGGAACCAGGCTGGGAAGGTACAAATGCTGTCCCTCTAGTTTCCTTTAGTTTGACACGTAACGGGACTGTAGTCCTGAATTTCTCTTTCTATAAACAGGGAGAGAGAGGCAATATCGTGGATGTACAGACGGCCAAGGGTAGGAGCTGAAGTGCATCTTCTCCAGCACGGCTTCTCTTATCTGGGACCCCTGTTACTCCCCTCAGCTGCTGCAGAAGCAGAGACTCAGCACAAAAGTGTCTGTAGCTCCGGTAATACCAGCGTGCCCAACCTCACAAACTCACAGAAACGCGCGCAGTGTGGGTGTGAAAGGTCTTGCCCCCACAAGGCAGGGCACTGTGGAGCCTGCAGTTTGCTCTATGGCCACAGATGAAAGTCAGAAATACAGCGTCCCTCTCTCTGCTACCCCACCGCATCCTTCAGCCCAGGCGCTTCCACGGGGGCCAGGACCCCCTCCCTGCCCCCCGCCCCATCATGGTCTTTTCAGGCCATGTTTCCACCGAGGACAACAAAAGGGCTTTCTGGACCCAAGGCGGTCCTGACACTCGGCTGGAGCAGCCGCGAACAGCAGCGTGTACCATGCTGTGAGGTGGCATGGGACTACGATGACCCAGACACATCTTCAGCCTCTCAGTCCCCAGTAAAGCTTCAGGAATACCTCCTAAAAATAGGCTGCATCCTCATCCCCTTTTCTGCAGCAAAACAACCTATAAATATCACAAAGAAGATGTTTACCCTGTTATAAACAAATTCCTACCCCCGTTCAAAAGAGCCATAGAGAAGAGGGTCCAGCAGCCGGCGCACAAGGAGTAACCTGTTTGCTTTGGCGAGAAGGCGGCTGAGGCAAATCCAAGGGCAGTTTGCAGCTACTCAAGCGCAGTTACTAACGCGCCAGAGCCAGCACAGCTGGGGGTGATGGCTAAAGGGTCAGTGGGAGGGGCAGCCTGAACCCAGGGGAATCTTCTTGCCAAGGTAGTGACCAGCACGGCCACTGGTCATCTCGGGGGGGGGGGGGGGGCACGGGAGCTTTCAGCCCTGGAGCTTTTCAGACGTGGCTGTGGCTGATGTAACCTGGTGTCCATGGGTGCCGCTCCGATGGGGCCTTTGGGCTGGAGACCTCCAGAGGTCGCTTCCAGCCAACAATTCCATAGCTCCGTAACCTCCACGTGAAACACCTGGCATTAAAGGGTGAAACTGCAGCAGCTCCTTCCCCTGTACTGCTGCACTGTCCCCGGAGCAGGGCACAGCTCCCAGGCCGCGCCACC